TCAAGGGAGTAAAGGGAATAAAAGAGTAAAGGGTGTGAGAGACTAAAGGTAGTAAAACATTTAAGGGGCTAAAAGTGTGACAGATATAAAAGTACGCAACTATAATAAGACTAACGAGCTAAAATGAGAGCTGTAGCCTTGTATGTAAGCTAAAAGCATCTCGGGACAAACTTCGTACCATCTCCCAGCCCTCCGTTTTTGACCAACGTATAAGGAAAAGATGGACGCTATTGATTTTAACAGCATCTGTTCTATATTCACGTCGAAGAATGAACAGAGAAAACTGAATTTTGGTACTTTTAATTCTTTCTGTGTCGTACTGATTTATTCTGGTGTTTCTGACGTTAAACAAGAAGATTTATATTCGGCCTGACCCTTCGATAAAAGCTTTCAATGCAATCCCTACGGGATCAAAATGTGAAACACGATGGAGTCGCTTTAAACTTACAGGAAGACTCCCTCTCTATTGATTACAATCCATGATAAAAACAGAGGAGCAGCGTGTCGATATGTCTATCACGGTCTCTGACAGGAGTCACAAGACCACATTGAAAGGCGGAAAACAAATGTTTTGGACTTCTGGATTTCAAATCCATCTATAATCCAAAAAATGCATTTATAATCCGAAATACCGAGGTCTAAGCATCTAGAATAGCATGCCGACATGTTTCTCATGATTTGTGCTCGAGGCCAGGGGATGCTTTACTTTTCTCGCTATATGCTTCAACATTAGCAATCGTGTTTCACAAAAGTACGCTGAAGTGGAGAAAAAATACTATGAGCCTCACCTAGCTTCATGACGCTCCGCCGCCTTTGGTCTCGCTTGAACAAAATGGGTTTCCACCTTGAAAATTCGATTTCCACTTTGTTTTTAGCAGGGAAAACATGGAAAATGCAGTAGTAAACTGTAGAAATCCACTTTGCTTAAAATTCCTATTAAAAACACTGTTCGCTGGGGAGGGATCCCTTAAGTCTACTACACTGTCGATCATGAAAAGCCGGTTGCCATCGGTAATCTGGCGTTTTGGATGTCATTGTTCACATCTTTGTTGTGTTGTCCTCGAACACTTCTTATGCGTAAATTCATCGATTTGTTGATACTTCTTAACATTACACTAGTATAACTTGCTCAATTATTTACTACTTGTTATTTTGCAAAGCCGAACACATGTGACTAACCCATGTTTTCGATATGGAACCTTCTAAAATATGTCGTACTATCTCGAAGACGTATTTGCCTTTTCTGCACAAGAGAAATAAACATATAAGAAGCAAAGTTTTTTTTCTACACTATAGACGTTAGAGACAATTTAGTCTGATAGGGGTTCTTTTGTTTTGTACAATATAAGCTTTTTGTTGTATAAAATCTCTACATAGGTTTGGTCACAGTATTATTTTGCTATTATCTAAAGTAAACATGAAACAAATTTTGAATGTATATAAGAGGGTAAGTCTATCATGTGGATTCAATTTATCAGTCATCACCTGACAAAACTGTTCAAATCGTTTTCAGTTCTTTAAACTAAGCATTCTGATGATTTTTGATATTTAGATACTTTGATTTTATTGAGAATTTGAGTTGTATTCGCACTAAAATTAAGCCGTTTTTTTCACTTGTCTTTTTTTGTACGACAGATTGTCTTAAAAACAGATTTGAACAGTTATTTAGATTATCATCAGAATTTTTCTCTAACATTGTGTTTTTCTTTTTAAAAAGCACCATCATAGACTGAATATCGACAAACGATCAACTGATTACTAATTCTTTAATACTTTATTACTGGGATGTTTAATCTATAAATAGTTTCATTTCAGATCTCATATAGTCATTTTTTTATTCATGATGATTTATACTGAGGTTTACTCTCAGTTCGTCCCAAATTGCTCACTCTCACACCTGCTCGCCCCTTTGATGTTGTTTCATCTTACAAAGCCAATTTGGGACGAACTGAGAGGACACCTGATGCCCATTGTTCAATACATATTTCAGTTACACAAAATTCATAGAATGAAAGTTAATATAGGTTTCATTCATACTTTGTTCAAAATATTACATTATTGTTATTTTGCATAATAAAATTATTAGCGTTAATGTCAAGTGGTTTTAGAAATTAAAATGATCGTTCAAAAGTGTTAGAATATGAACAAATATTTTATATGTGATGATCTGTTATTGATTTTTATCTATGAGTCACTGTACGAGAACCACATCCACCCATACTCAATGACGATCTCAGATATTTTTCTAATCGTTCTTATCTTGTAGAGTATACACGACACCTATAAATCCAAAGTTTCAACTTTATCGGACCATAGGTTTCAGAGATACAACAAGATTTTTCGAGAGTGCTTAGCATTGATAGTTCAGAAAGAAGAAAGGAAAAGAAGAACAAGACAAAAAAAGTTAAATTGTTCGTTCTACATACGTTAATTGCCATCATCAATAGAAACAAAAGAAAGGAGAAGTAATGTGTTATAGACTGAAAGTATTTGATTGATTGACTCGTTGATGTTTGTTCTTTTTCACATTTTTCATTTAGATAATCATTGCTTTCAAACGATTCAAATGAATATAGTGGTATAAATTGCTGGTTAACGAGATCAGCAGTCACATACCTTTAAACGTTTATGTTCAAGTGATACTCTTCCACAAAACAAAGAGAAAAGAATCATTTCCCTCTTTTTCAAGCTTTTGCTACCGTCCATTAAGATAATCGACATATCACGACGGAATAATTCAATAACATCTCTCACGATCTAGTCATATGTAAAACATGGACAATTGAAATTTGGCACAAAAGGATGTCCAAAAGTATGTTTGCTGCTGATACGCCTAAGTTTTATTTTAACATTTGTCAATGACTGATTTCTTAATCTAGTGTTATTGAACTTGAACTAGGATTGATTGAAAAATCCTAATGTAATATTTTATGAGGCTGCCGAATACATATTTCTTGTTGAAAAAATTTGTATCGCTCTCTATTTAAAAAAATGTTTTTTATTCTATTTATGTTCATAGACATCAGAAATCCATATCATATTGATTGAAAATGTTTCAGAAGAAACATTTGCGTTGCACAAGGAAAACAAAAAAAAACATTTATGTAGGTAATCATTTAGGAAAAGCGGTCATGCTGTATGTTTGTATGTGTTTATACGTGGAAATATCTTTTCATTTGGAAAATTGAATTGAATCGAATAGGAATTTATCCATTGCAGTAGCTTACTTTTAATGATTATGCTGTTCGACATGTAAATTATGTGGAGAACTGTTTGAAGTAAGTACAGAATTAATAAACCTAAAACGTATAGTTAAAAAGTCGCTGTACACATATTTATTGATCCTTTGATGGTATTGTAATATAAATTTTATCACCATATTCTCACAATGCTAAAGATTTCTATGATTATATACCTTTTTTTCCCATGTGTTTATTTTAGTTAATTAATATTGTATCAGATTATCCCGTTCTTGATAAGACTGAAATGACACGTTATATCCTCTTAGAACATCAATAGTAGATGTATTAACAAATTGATTTTCTTGTTCCTTATCACAACTAAACTATTTGTTTTTTTACATTTCTTTTTTGTTGTTATTTTATGAATAAATTATTTTCACATTAGATTGAACTTTAAACTGTTAGTTCCTAATATTAGAAGAAGTCCAATCTATTCTTTGTGTGTCTGTTGTTGCTGTATTTGAAGTCAAAACACTAGTTTGTTGACATGTTACGTAATGACTTATTGGAGAACATGGTGTAAATTTGCTTCGGAATCACAATTTTGTGTTACAATACATAGTGGAAGAGTCTGTAATGAACTTTCTAGCCTAATGAGGGAACCTATGAAGATGATACACTCCGTTTTCCATGATTTATACATCAATCGATAGAGTATACCGAGCTAGCAAAAATTCTAAAAGGATTCATCCCCATGGTGCTTTCTTCGAAGGTTGTAGCACTTTTTCGTTTTCAAGCCCTCCTGAGGCTCGAAAACAGTAAAAATTCAATAACACAGCTGACACTTTCTATGATTATAATAGACATCTAGCACCACTACAGAAAAATATTTCAGCCTTTCATACCATGTTCTGGCTGAGTTATTGTATTTTTACTGTTTTCGAGCCCCATGCGGGCTTGAAAACGAAAAAGTGTTACAACCTTTGAAGAAAGCACCATGGGGATGAATCCTTTTAGGATTTTTGCTAGCTCGATATACTCTATCGATTGATGTATAAATCATGGAAAACGGAGGGTATCACATCCATAGGTTCCCTCATAAGCTACTTTTATTATTACAAAAACGAATTGATGTTTAAAAAAAGATGATTTCTTTTTACTAATAATCGATTTTTCTCCAAGTACCCATGTCATAAAAACCGGTTAAATACTGTCCGGTTACTTCTCCGGTACCAGTCTGTTACATTCCGCGGTATACCACCAGCGGAACTGAAATTACCGCATGATCTATCGAACCACGCGGTATACCGGTGGTATCAACCGCTATTTTATCAGTGCGAGCAAACAGTACAGGAGTTAGAATGTAGTTCTCAGCTTTCTTTTTTCTGTTTTTTTGCAGTACGCATGCAACGCAATAAGGTACTCGAACGGGAAGAACTTGACTCAAGACGAAGTGCAAACTTCAACGAGTCTCTATAATCTGAAAAAAAATCAAAGTCTTTTGACTTTTCTGCGTTTATTATATAGACTGTCAATCGCAACACAAAAAGGTGAATTTGTCAAAGCGGTTTACGGACGGTTTTTTGTTGTATCGTGATCTGAAAACTACCCTCCGGTAACCGTCGGTAAACGAAAAAACCGTCGCTAAACCAGTAGTTATACCGAACGGTACGGTTAACCAGCGGTAATCTATAGACAGATCGATAATCGGCGGTATTACGAAAAAAAGTGTAACATGGGTACAGTAGGCAGAGAAGAAAGTTGGCCGCAGCCTAATCTACTCAATAATCATAATTTTAGATCTTATTGTATAAAAAGATGAATCCAAGAAGAAAGCGACTGAAAACTACTGTATCTCAACATGTTTTACAAACGTATGATAGATGAATTATATCTTGCATTTCTGTCAAAGTATATTTCATTTTCTCGATTTAGAATCGAAGACATTCGTCCAGTTAATCTTTACATCAGAAAGAAGTTGAAGAATAATTCTAGTCCAAAAAGCCATATTGTACGTTAAGCTGATTATTACTACGCTATCTATAACATATTTTCTGTATTCTAGTGTCAATTAGAAAACAAATTTGAAGAATTAGATGCTCAAAAACGTCTAAAATACATACAAAAAAGTATCGATCGTTTTATTCAATTATTGGTAAAAGAGAAGAAGAAAACATTCATTTCATTTCAAGAGAACATCTTTATTCTTTCTTAGGACGACAATGACGTCTGCTTGAGTGCACAACGAGACGAAGATCTGTTTAGCCTGCTCTTAAAGCCTGGTGAACGGACGATTTATTTCAGAAATCATTTGAAAGCACCAAGTCTTCCTCCATGGTAAATTTTGACAAACTTAAAATCTAAAACTCTATTCAATATTGCATTTTGTTTTCTAGTAATTCAAAAATGTTATACATTCATTTGATGAAACAAAAATACAATGATAAATTTGATAGAGACAAATGCATATTAAAATGGCATCAATTAGATGAAAAAATTCGAAAAGAGTATGAACAGTTAACGGATGAAGTATGTGGCAACACGAGTTTGGTCGGAAAACACTCTAATTGATTTTATTGATCTCAAAAATGTCAGCATCCACATTTTAGTGACCTAACAGATAGTCAACAATACTAGCATCTGTTAATCTAGTGTTCTAGTTCTGGATTGATAAAGAGTGATAGTCTACCTTTCTTGTGAAATCAGATGAAAACGTGTAAGTTTAGAAGCACGTCTTATTATGACACTTTTCACTACTTTTGGTACTGCTATCATTTTAGTGCTGGTTAGAATTTTTTTCTTTTATTCATTGTGTAGAAATTTTGTCGATGTTTCACGACGTTGGAGTCGTGCACTTGCAACATCAACACACTAAAAAATAATGCGGCGCATATGTGCCAAATTGAGACACTTTTATCCGCGACACCGTGTGCTCACTGGCTGACGTAATATCTCCATGTATGTCTACACTACTTGAATTGTTGGTTTAATTGGATGTACTCGGCTCCAGTCAAAACACTATTATCTTCCTACAGGGTTCACAGTGGCAAATTTTGACCAGGCACGTGAACAAATGCCATATAACCGATCCGAAAGCCTTTAAACGCTATTTTTATAGGTTTTCCTATATGCTCTTTCCAACGGTGTGATTTTCGAGTTCGAAAATGTTTTTATCAGAGTTTTCCAGAGATCCAGTCTTTGGAAAATTCCATTAAAAGTGCTTTCGAACGTTATAAATCATACCATTGGAAAGAACAAAATGAAAATAGTTTTTCGTATGCTTTCAAACTGTTTCTAAATCAAAAATCCTAGTGTCTAGCAAAACTGCTGCAAATCTGTCATTTCATTAAATCGAAAGATTTTTTGCGCATAAAAACATACAACTGACATATCATTCGATGCAGTTCGATGCGCTGATGTTAAATATTTTATTAGTTTTTAATGAGAGTGCTTCTTGGGGTGAGAAAACTGGATTTTACCTGAAAAACCAAGGTTTTTTGGAAAACCAGTAACTCGGTCCCGAAGCATTTGTGCTAACCATACACATGTATAAAAAGGGAAAGAACATTTCGTGAAATTTTAAGTTAATTTGGAGCTTCAGAAAATTTCGGAAATTCATTATACTGAACACGTCTTTTGGAAAACTGTGAGCGTAGAAAGAAAAATTATTATAGAAATCAAGACTAAAATCACCTTTTTCATGTTGAAATAACTATTTCAAATGAGACGTCATCAGTTTTTATTCTAAAGACAGCATCAGTTATTTTTTTCGGTCTGAAAGTCTCCTGCGAAAAAGGTTGTTTACGAATCGATGGAAAGGAAACGGCGTCGTAGAAACTTTTATTTTTCTCTACTTGGAGAAAAACGATAAGAAGCTCGTTTTTAATGAGCTGTAAATAATAAAACCTACTATCCGTCCCAAAATACAAGACTATCGGTTACTTTTAGTATAATACAGTCACACTGATAGATAACGCCCCCCGGTTAGGTAGTCCGGACGTTACTCTACAAAATTATCTAAGTACCACCTCTCCAACTATTGTCATTCAGACAGAGCTCGCTTTCCCCGAGCGCGTGTCCATCTCCGAGCAGACATCTCTGGGAACCTCAAAATGCCAAGGAATATAAGTAATCGACTACGCTGAGAATAGTGGCAACATTTATTAATGAAAGTAACTTCGTCAGAGGCATTTTTGTGAAAAACCGGTTTTTCATCTGTTACTAGCAAAAATTAAAATCCTTATATTTCCGTCAAATCTCATGCTGATTCAAGGAAACTTTCAGAAAACGCTCAGGACAGCTCATAAATCATAATCGCAGACGAAAAAAGTGAATTTCAGCTGAGCATTGATTTAAGGTTTTCCAGAAACCTCCTGAAAAATCTCAAAACCTTAGTGTTCTGCTGGGCCAGTTTTCGACTTGAACAACAATATATGGCGCCTTTTAAGTCTTTCCTGAAAATTTTTTTGAGTCAGCATGAGGTTTGACGGAGATATAAGGATTTTAATTTTTGCTAATAACAGACGAAAAACCGGTTTTTCACAAAAATGCCTCTGACGAAGTTACTTTCATTAATAAATGTTGCCACTATTCTCAGCGTAGTCGATTACTTATATTCCTTGGCATTTTGAGGTTCCCAGAGATGTCTGCCCGGAGATGGACACGCGCTCGGGGAAAGCGAGCTCTGTCTGAATGACAATAGTTGGAGAGGTGGTACTTACATAATTTTGTAGAGTAACGTCCGAACTATCTGCGCATGAAAATAAACTACTAACTTTGTACGCTAGTTTCTTGAGAACGGAGCTGGTTTTCAGAAGACCCTCTAGAAAACCGGACTTCCAGGAAATTTTGAAACAAGTTTCCACTTACAAAAACATGTCCTAGGGTCTTAGTAACCCGATGGTGAAAACCGCAGATCGCTATCTATCTGATCGAGTTATACCAAAAGTAACCGATGGCCTTGTATTTTGGAAGGGATAGTAGTATGAAAATAAAATCATGTCTATAGAATGAAACGTATTTATTTCCGTTTTCTTGCATGAAATAACGCACTTTAGCACGTAATGGTATCTAGAAGAAAACAAAACTCGGATATAAAACAGTAAAAGCATTTTGAAATTAATTTGCTGCCGTTTTTCAAAACTCAACGAGTTGAAAAAGATGTTTTACACTTGAAATAAATGTAAACGTGTTTGAAGCTTTAGATAGTAATAAGCGTATTAAAAATAGAATAACGTTAGAATTTGTTTATTTCTTTTAAGAAATTATTAAATTATTACCCCTCAGAAATTATCCCCGACACCAGATATCCGATCTTGACGAAACTTTTCATAAATGTTAGGCACAATGAGTTACAGGAATGAAAATTTTGCTTCGTCTCCAAGTCATGCCGTTTAGAAGTTTTTCAGAGATTAAAGTTGAAAAAGGATCCCAAAGTATTTCCCAAGATTTTTTAATATACTTCAAACTAGACAGTTCCGGTTGTTTCATTTTAAACTAGACAACTAACTATATGGGCTGACCGGCACCGATTTTTCAATTAAATCTTTGTCCGCTTTGTAGACAACCAACAATCTCAGAAACCTAAAAAACGCATCCTAGTTTTCTAGAAATCCTCAGTTTGATAAAAAAACTAAGACCTAATTGAAAAATCGGCGCCGGTCAGCTCATGTAGTTAGTTGTCTAGTTTAAAATAAAACAAATCCAAATTCTCTAGCTTGAAATATATTAAAAAAATCTTGGGAAATACTTCAAGTGTAACTCCTGTATAGAGAAAACGCTGTATAAAATGCTCAATTGTAGAACTTGTACGAAAATGCCTGTAACTTTTTGATACAACGTCATACAGAATTGTGCTAAGTTTTATTTTGATCAGAAAATTTTTCTCTCCAAATCGACTTTTTTTGTCCGAGAATCATCATTTCTGATGAGGGAAAATCCTTAAAGAAAGAAACACAACCAAACGCATCTGTTTGTGTTGAAATCTTGAAACCAAAAGTAGCTAATGATTCTGAAATGAGTTTTTCGCATCTCTTCGCCGTCATTCATACACTAACGGTATGTAACTGACATTGAAACAAAATCATGCCGGAACATTTAGACCTGCAGGGTCTAGACTGATACGTTTTTTGTGTTCTAATTCGTTAACGGAATACCTCTCTCTCATTTTAGGTACATAATAAATATGATAGAGATATGTCCAAATTTTCCAATTTTTTGCCTAATAGAATTGCTGAAGACTATTTCATTTATGCTACAGCGATTGAAAACTCATTTATGGACGATGATATGGATTTTGTTGAGAGTAGTGTTTTGAACACAGAAGAAATTACGTCAATTTTACAACAATATACTCCAAGTGTATTATATGAAAAAAAAATGAAACAAGAATACTTATTCAACGAATTAAAGAATGAAGAACAAATAAAATGGATACAAAAATCGCTTAAAAAATGGCGAAAATTCTTGAAAAAATATCCGTATGTTATTGAAGAACGTACGCCAACATTAAATCATATTTTAAATTCAAATGAAATATTGACATATTTTTATACTATTGGTTTACCTAAATCATCGTCCTTAGATAATGATCTTAATCAACTAAAATGCACATGTAAAGATAACCTATTATATCTACAAAACTTAGTTAAATTTATCGAAATTGATTTGAAGGATGAACAGTATTTAAAATTTGAATTGTTTACAAATTTTGAAGATATTAAAAAACACTATAAACTCGCCACTGCACTTGAACAATTTCGATTAACACTAACAATCGATCAAATACATCTCATGGGAAGAATAAGAAGATTAAGGCAACAATAAATGATGGCTTCCCCTTACAAGTCAATCTGCTATATTTAAGACAATTTTTAATGTTTAGAACAGGAAATCGATAACATTTTTATATTTTATCATGATATCTTATAACGAATTGACTTTTCTGATTTGTATAATACTATACTAAAATAATAATAATACATCCTTTTGAAACAATCAAAATAAATCGATTAGTTTCTTACCTACATTAAAACATAACTCAGAAATGAAAATAAATGTTAATAAATATGGTGTTTGTTTTCAGATACCTATCGTATCATATAAGGAATCCCACACAGTCTGCTGTCATGATAAAAAGAAATGTAACGTCAGCCTTTTCTCTGGTTATGTCCGAGGCTAACTGTTCCACACATTGTTCACGGGGAACGTTTGATTAGAATGTGCCATAGATCTAATATTTGCCAAAAAGCTATTACATCAGCCAAAATTAAATTTTCTCAATTTTTCTGCAAAAATTATAACTTTAAGAGCCCTTGCACAGAAGGCATGACCTATTACAGCGGTATGGTCTTCAACCGATCTTCTCAAAGCTTTTCTAAACTATAGGACTCCTTTAGACCGAACATTTTAATGAACTTTGATTCATTCAAATCAAAAAGTTGTATCGTTGCTAAGATATTGAAGTTTTACGGAAAGCCCCGAAAAGCGTGAATTCTACTATCTTGAAAATTTGCCAACTTTAAAGTCTTTAACTTAGTAACGATAGATTACTTACCCTCGCAGATTTTCCATAAATAGCAGATAGTGTCTACTGCAAAACCGCAAGCTCAAAGCATGCTTTCCTTATTTTGTAATAGCTGGCGCACTAAGCGCCAAAATCCAGAAAACCTTGAATTTTCCTGTAGCTCCCATTTAAAACGAAGTCGACCGTGACACTTTCAACCATATTTCCAAATAGACTATGTATTAAAGCATATCTGGTAAACGTTTTACGGTCGCAGACGGTGTTCCCTTCTGAACACCGACGGTTTGTCCAAAAATAACCATTTTGGGCGATTTTGAGGAATGATTTTCTCTGTAAAAACAGGACCATTCTGCAGCCCTCTCGTATATCTTGGAGTACACCAGGTGTACTATCATAGTCCATTCCGTGATCTGTGGGTTTCCCTGCTATCCTGATCAGGATATACATTCCGTTTGGGCTATAATATATATCCACTTTGGGACATAGCCCGATCAGAATACATTTTTATATCCCGAATGGGACATGGTATACTGAAGACAGATCAAGACACGGTGCTCTTTGGTTTTGGATGTGCGAGTGTGAGTTCATCTTTGAAGAAAACTAGTTTGATCCATAGCTAGACTACACAGCATTTTCACTTGTAAAAATCTACGTTGAAATAATGAAAGCCAAGAAGTTAAGCAACGATATTGACTATACGAGAGATCAGCACGCGCCGAGCTAGAAACTTTTGTAGAGTGGTCGGGTCGGGCCGGATCAAGGATTTTTTTGGTGACATAAGAGACGAAGAAGGCCATTTTATCAAGAAAATTTTCAAGAGTGGTCGGGCGGCACCAGATAAATTTAAGCTTCAGTCGGGCCAGAAAAGTATTTTCGTCGGGCCGAGCCGTGCCTGAAATTTTCGGCCCGTGCCGATCTCTGGACTATACATAGTGCGAAGTACATTCTTTATTTCTCATTTATTTCTTATTTGTGTCTATGTTATTATGTATCCTTGCGCTCTGTCAACTAAAAGCGACAGTGAAACACATTTACGTCGATTCTGTTTTTAAAAACATAAAAAACAAGACGCTGACTGTCGAGGCCTCGTTTAAGTATAGAAAAAGAGGCATTAAGCATATAATTTATACATTTCACGCACACCGATATTCAATACTTTAAACTTTCATACTTTATACACAATTTAATTAAAAAGAAAAATAGCGCCGAATCTTCAACGGCATACTGAAATTGAATATAAGCAGGAGTCGACAAAACGTGCTCAAAGTAAATATCATCGGCGAATATAATCAAGAGTAGAGCAACTTGGATTCCAACTCAGTTTTTCATCCGCTTTCTTATGCTATAGCCACTTTTCTGCAATAACGTCACGATTTTTGCGGTAATGATTTTTTCCAAATTGTTTTGCAAAAATATCCGGATCAGGATATACATTTTCTGCGATATCCCGTTCGGGATATAGGGTATATTCAGTACGGGATATCCCTCGT